CTCGACCCTCCTGGACTCTGCCGACTATTTCACAGTGTTTCAGCCTGCTAATTGCCCTGTCGACCTCTTCCTGGGCTTTCCACTTCCTCCCTGTTCGTATATTAGGGCCAGCTGCTCTCACCAGTTGATCAGTTGATTCCCTCAGCTCCATCACCATCCGAGCCTTCTCCTGCTTGTATCCCAGGCCAATGGATCGCAGTGGCAGCTGTAGTGTGTTCCTGCCAAAGAGGCCTACCTCTGATAGGCATCCTGGCAGACCTAGCCACTTCCTGATGAATGAGTTTGCTAGCCCATCCATCTTGTTTGCCACCGAGGAGGGAACTTCGCTCATCTTCAGAGGCCACATCACCCTTGGGTATAGTATGAACTGGTAGCTCCATACTTTATACTTGCCGGGGAGCTGGCTCTGATTGATCCTGGCGAGGCCATCTGCGAGCTGCTTTCTCACTGTTTCCCCCATCTGCCTATCAGAGAGGTCTGCTGTATAACTACGACCCAGGCTACGGACGGGCTGATTTGCCAGCAAAGGGATTTCTTCACCGCCTGCGAAAAAGATGGTATGGTCATTTCTAACCCCTTTCCTGATGGACAGGCTGCGTGATTTGGCGGGTTTGATCTTCATCCTCGCCCACCCCACAAGCTCGTCAACCCTCTTCAGCAGCCTTGTTGTGCATGCAGCTGTCTGAAGAATGGTGGTGATGTCGTCCATATAGCCTCTCACTGGTGGTAGCCTTTGGCCTGATGGTAGCTTCATACCTCCAACCATCACCCTTGCCCCCATCAGGATAATCTCGAAGGCTGCCACAAAGAGGATGGGCGAGATTGAGCATCCCATGGCAATGCCCACTTCCAGCTGTTGCCAGCCTGTCGTGAAGTCCTGATGAGTGCAACACATCTTGATGTCCTCAAAATACTTGGCCACCAGGGCACGAATGCAGTCAGGGATGTAGAAAAAATCCAAGGCATACTCGATGAGTTGGTGGGGGACAGACCCGTATGCGTTGGCAAGATCCAGCCACACCACATGCAAGTCACCTTTTTCTCTTTTGGCTCTCTGGATCTGCTCCCATATGACTGCAGAGTGTTCCACGCACCCTGGGAAGCCTGGCACGCCTGCTTTCTGGCAGCTAGTGTCAATGTACCCATTGCTTATGAGGTAGGTAGCCAACCTCTTTGCCAGGACGGAAAAGAAAATCTTGCCTTCCACATTCAGGAGTGCAATGCTCCTGAACTGGCTAATGGTGGTAGAGCTTGTTTCCTTCGGGATGAACACTGTGACAGCTCGTCGCCAATCTGAAGGGATAACCTTGTTCTTCCAGGCCACTCTCAGGAGGTTCCACAGATGTCTCAGGACCCCTGGGCAGTACTTGTACAGCTTATACGATATCCCATTGAGGCCTGGAGCTGAGGCTGCTCTCGCTTTCCGTACAACTTCTGCTACCTCACTGAGTTTGGGGAGATCAGTGTTAAACAGCGAGGATGGGGGGGCTGGGCGAGGAACATAACCTGGTGATCCCAGTGGCGTTGACTTTGCTGGGTCACTGTACTGCTCCCTGAAGAAACTTTCCAGCTGTGACTGTGTGATCTCCAGCTTCCCGCTTCTCTTATCCTCCAGTAGCTGTCTTGCATGCTTGAAGGGGTTTTTGAAGAAGTTTCTCCTCTCCTTCTCCTTCCGCCTTCTGCGTTTGCGGATACGCTCTGCCCTCCGAAGGCTGGCTAGGTTCTTCTTCACCTCCTCCCACAGTGGCTTCAAGCCCTCCTTCTCCTCTTTACTTGCCTTCCTCCACTGCTTTCGGAGCTGGCGCCGCCTCTTTATCAGTTGCTCGATCTCTCTCTCCCTCCTCCCCTTCTGCTTTGAACCCTTCTGCTTCTCAGCAACTACCCCGAACCTGCTTCTGCACTCCTCGTACAGGATGACTCCAAAGCGATTCAGCTTGGTTTCCACCTGGCCGCGCAGTGACTGCTCCAGAATTAAACAGAGGTCCTTATCGAGCTGCTGCCACACTGCCACCTCATTCGCTTTAGGCCATTTCACTAGCTGCCTCCGCCCAGGTTCACTCCTCTCTGGTCTTAGGCCTGGCTCCTGATTGCTGGTATTTACATTAATATTTACATAAACAAAATGACTGTTAGCCAGAGGAGAACTGGCCCCCGACTGAGCCTGGGTTCTCCCAAGGTTTTTTTCTCCATCCAATGTGATGGAGTTTTGGTTCCTTGCCACTGTTGCCTTGCTTTTGGCTTGCTTAGTTGGGGATATTTAATATTTAATATTTAACAATATTATTGATCTGTGTTGTACTACTTTCATGTTATCACTGTGAAGCTGCTTTGATACAATCTGTATTGTGAAAAGCGCTATATAAATAAATGTGACTTTACTTGACTTTCATCAAAGGGATACTTCACCTCTGGAAAGATGAATGTGTATTTAAATGGGTCATTTATGTAGAAGAAATGTGAAATTATGTTTTAATTTGGAGCTTTCTAGACTGAGAAAAGCCAGAAAATGTATTTTTGCCTTATGTGGATGAAAGACAACCACTCCCAGAATGCACTTGCTTAGCTGCCCTAGGAGGCCACGCCTACCTGTAACAGAGCGTCGTAGTTAAACAACAAGTCTGGGCTACTAGTGAATCTCCGTGATGAGTCTGCCCAAAAATGTGTTTCGAGATCGCCCAAAATGTCCGGGATTCGGCTTTTGCATTCTACAGTCGCCATTCATTATGTTTACTGTAGTGAAGGGGGTCGCACACCGGACGAGAAGCGCAGCGCTGCGCCGCGCCGCGCCACGTCGCATCTAGGACAACCCCAGGTATCGCACACCGGACGCGCACTTTCTCATCAGTGTATGGCCAGCAATATTGTTATGTTAAATGACATGAAAGGAAGATAATGTCTGTTCTATGTTATTATTGTACTGTACAATTAAATACAATCGTTGCTGAGTCTGCAGTCTGAAAACTTTACCTCAGAGCATCCGTTCACTGAATGAATTGAGAATCTCACCTGAAAAATCCAATTACATCAGAAATTGTCATTCAAGCAGCTGATTTCTGTAAATGAATGCAAAACTAAATGTATATTGCAGCGTAGGGCGAAGTCAGGATCCATCAGCAACTATTTGAGACAAAAATAATAAAAATTTTATATAAAACTATGTAAATGCCCCTCTGTGGCGCAGCAGGATTTTGAACGCGGTCCTGAGCCGTTGCTGGGTGCCGCGGACAGACGCAAAATGGCGCCGCCAGTGTGTGTACACCCAAAGAAAAATGTGTTCGAATTTTAAAGACATGGCGCTACGCGACGCGGCGCTGCGCTTCTTGTCCGGTGTGCGACCTCCTTGAGGGCTGTGGGAGAAACATGTGGAACAGCCCTATAATGATTGTAGTCTTTAGCCTCTGGCCAAAAAAATACTACAGGTTTTCTACTAATGCAAAATCCTGAAGTATCCCTTTAATTTGATACGCTATACTCCACATAGGCAGAACAAACATTCCATGCCAACTAGTTACCTGATGCAAACTCAAAACTGAAGCAGACTGATATCGTCTTGGTCTGGAAATTGTGAGTAAAACCCAAGGCAAGGGCACTGTAGAGCTGGGGAGTAACACGTTTTAATTTATCCTAGTCGCTTTACGACTTAAAATAGCCTAGAAAATATGAAAAAATATTCCTTGAAGAATGCTGAACACATGACGAGCCACGACTGGCTGTCCTCTACACTTTTAATAACTGTCTGGTTTGGCTCTCGGCTACAAAATCAAACACCAGCAGAATACAGACGACGTGTTGGACTGCTGAGAGGATCACTGGTGCTTTCCTGCACAACCTCCAGGAACTGCATCCATAAAGAGAAGAGGGAACAAAAGGGCTCAGAAATATCACCCTCACATCTAAGCCCACTTCTCTTTCAACTTTTGCTCCACCGAGCATCACAAAAACCAGGCACAAAAAAAAAGTTCTCCCCACTGTGGATAACTATGTGCATAACTTATATTTATTTAATACCATACCTCTTCCTATTCCATTCCCTGTAAATTCTATTCATTTATATTTATATAGCACTCATGTACAAATATGTCTATTTTTTTATACACAACACGTACAGTGAGTGATTACTTGTAAAATGGTGAATACTGAAAATAAACCATCTGCATATATATATATATATATATATATATATATATATATATATATATATATATATATATATATATATATATATATATATATTTTTTTTTATGTACTTTACCATCACTGTTCACTGCTAGGTTGTTAAATGTGGAGTGCCATATCCCTGGATAAGTGATCGCTTATGAGCTGATTTTTAGTTATGGAATCATTTACAGGTAAAGATAGGAATTAAGAACCTTGTACCACTTTACCAGTATTCACCCTATGTGTGTCTTATTCACATTTACATCTTTATTTTTATTTGATTACATAGGCTACTGTTGTTTTCTCTGTACTGAAAGCTTGCACAAAAAAAAATATTGTGTGTGCAAACATACCTGGCAATAAAACTCTTTCTGATTCTGGTATAATATTTGTGAGATTTAGTATTAAACTGTTTTGAGGTTAATTTATCTATTTTTTATTGTAAATCATGGTATTAATATTCAATGGCCTAATTCTATGAGTTCAACATCTTTGCTATTAATTGAAAAGTTAACATTTTTTATTAAATCATTCCATTTGAATTTATCGTGTAGCTATTAATGTATACTTCAATTAAAATATTGGCTATTATAATATTATATATTCACCTAAATAAGTAAATAAGTAAATATAAGTAAAATATCTTATATTATAAGTAAATATCTTTCAGATTAATCTATTTTACTGGAAATTCACCTTTACTGTCATCGTTATTCAATTATCAACTTAGAAAATTATTATTTAGTATTTTAAATGCGTTTTAAAATACATTTATGCTCTTTAAAAAATGCTGTTTTTCAGTAAAGTAGCAGCATAGCCGAACCTTCGCTTTCGTCTACAAACATCGCGAGACGTGATCTCAGTGGCGTGACGTCAGAACGTGAGCACAGCACAGAAGCGGACAAGATGTCGCTAGCAAGGTAAGTAGCACTGGAGCTGGTTTTGAGGATTTTTGTTTCCACTTTTACATTTAAACTCAAGTTAAAGAGGTCTACGGGATTTTTTATGTGCCCACGGGTGATGTTTGCTAATAATTTGCGTTATTTATTAACTGAATTATGTTATTAGATGCGCTGAGGCCTGCGGTGTTGTAAGTTAGCTAGCTAGCAGTACTCTTTGTATCACAGTGAGTGCTAAGAAGCTAATGCTACGACCACAGCAAAATAAATAACATTTCTAATGTAAGCTATAAGGTACGATAGGCTGTGCTGTATCTATCGTGAATAAGTAACTTTAACGGCTGAAGGGCGTTGTTGGGCACGACGCGAAGCGGAGTAGCAGTTACTTATTCACGATCAGTGTTGGGTCTAACTAATTACGTTAGTTACTGTAATTTAATTACTTTTCCCTTGAAAATGTAAAATAAGGAATTACTCTTCATTTATCTGTAATTTAATTACAGTTACTTCTGATGTAATTGAGGTAAATAACGTTACTGTGTATACATAGATCAATCCGATCTCACAGCGATTCGTATGCATTTTATGAGGTGTCTAAATCGTACAAGCGCACGTGTACATATTCGTATGAGTTATTGTAAAATATATATGAAAAAAGTGTGAAATGTCATGAGATCGGACATAAAACAATAGTGGGTTTAACATCAAAATGTATTGTCTGATGTTAAAAAGTTTGTTTTTATAATGTAACCTTCTCCACCTTGGTCTGTTTAAGGATAATTCATGCAATTTTATAGTATTTATTTGAAAGAATTAAAAGTGATTCATGTCTATCCTTGTATTATTCAGCTGGTTGAGATCGATATGGATGGATTTTGAAAGTAATTAAATACTTTTTAGAGATAGCAATTAGTACAGTAATCTAATTACACTGTTGAACAGGTAACTTACCCAACACTTTTCATGATACAGCACTTGCCTCGAGTACCTTATTGCTTTTATAAAACAGTTGTCACACAATATTAAAGTAAAAAACAATGTATTAGTGCAACTTTCTTGAAGTAAAATCACTAGGGCTGCAACTAACGATTATTTTGATAATCGATTAATCGGACGATTATTTTTCGATTAATCGATTAATCGGACAAAAAATTTATTTCATTTTTTTGTTTATTATAACTAAATAAAACCCTAAAACCCTAAAAACCACACTCTTTTGTGTGTTAAACAATCTACTTAATACAGACAACTTCATTATAAAGAAAAACAAATAAAAATATATATATATGACCATAACCTATGACAAAAATGCTATTGTAAACTAGATTAGTGGATAACTCATAAAAACTTAGCCAAAAAATATCACAAGTGCACAATAATTTTATAAAATCTGAACATTTAGTGAAAAAAACATTCCTTAGTGGGGAACAAATAAGAGACAATAAGTGTAGCACTAACTAAACGTTGCACATTGCTCTTTGTATTGTTGTTATACATTCATGAAAAACACTGTGCACACTACTGTGCACGTGAAGAACAATTATAGTGCGCCGAGTCTACTCTAGTGTTGTGATCTAACAGACACTCAGTAGAAAGTGATTAAGTTACAGCAATAAAAGTCTAGCAAGATAGTCATTATATTACGAAACCATAGACCTTTATCTACGGATCAATTATAATAATAACATTGAATCATCTTGGAAAGAGTTTCATCATGTTAACTGTTGTAACCGAACGCGACGAGCTGTTTGAACACCGAATAGAGAATGACTGACAGCCGCAGTGGAGGGAAAAGCTATGGTTAACTTTATTTTAATGACTTAAATATACATTTCTATCTCACATTATACTATAGTATGGCTTCATAAAGTATACACGATTAACGTAGGTCACCTATTTTGGTTTCAAAACGGCGAATTTGCCGAAAGGTGAATGATTTTCGTGTATGCTGCATATTGATAGCGGTTTCCTGATGCCCGCAAATTAGTTCAAACTCACGGAATCAAGAGCGCGCATGCGAGACAGAAGATAATGTGCTCCAAACCGTCCGTGTTGCGCGCGCGAGACAGAAGATAATGTGCTCCAAACCGTCTGTGTTGCGCGCGCGAGACAGAAGATAATGTGCTCCGTTCAAACAGTCGGTGTTGCGCGTGCGAGACCGGGTAGAGCGGCGAGGGAGAGAGACTGCGTGTGTGCCTCATGAAGCGCATGCAAGAAGCGCATGTAGCATGTAAACAATCCCCGTGACGTAATCAGACCAACTAATCGATAATGACATTCGTTGACAACGATTTTCATAATCGATTATAATCGATTTTATCGATTAGTTGTTGCAGCCCTAAAAATCACTAAAGCCTGGCTCACATCAGGAGTTTTAAAATCCTAACAGATTTTGAAATCTGGTTGCAGTTCACACTTAAAGAGAATCTTTGCAGATTTTCTTCCCTCAAATCTTAAACATGCTCACACTACAAGATTTGAAAATCGCAGTGCATCACACACTACACAATGTTATTACAATTATTGTGCCAGAGGAAGTGGCTCACGTGATCTCACTAGGTGATCCCTGTTAATAAGATGTAAACTTCCATCCATATACAGCTGTAATTGACATCCTATTAATAGGGATCACCTGGTGTTTTAATAGTTTCTGTTAACATCACTTGACTAATTTATTTATTTTTCTCCATTTTGTAGTTTTCTCCCTGCACCCACCCAACTGTCCCAGGACCAGTTAGAGGCGGAGGAGAGGTCTCGTGTTCAGAGGTCACAATCCACTGCTTTGGTCTCCACTCGCAGAGAACCTCCTCCCTACGGCTCCAGGAAATCATGGGTGCCCCGGTCACTAGAGGTAGTACTGCAATACAAGATTATTTATGATTTGATTAGAGATTATTTTTGGATGACTTTATATGTATGTATATATAAATGTACACAAGGAGACTTGAAAGTAAAGTGTAACCAAATTAATAAATTGCTGTTGTTACCATTCAAATGAAATCTTCAAACTATCTGTAAACTAAATCCATCTTAGCACTGCAGAGGCCTGTTTCAGAAATGAGGTTAAGTGAAAAGTAAGGGTGTAAATATTAATCGATTTGCATCGATTATACGGCTGACGATTCAATGCATCGATGCGTCCGCAAGAGAATCGATTAATTCGTTTATTTTGCCGCCTGTCTATTTTCATCATCTGCTCCGACATGTGCGTGTTGTTGAGTCTGACTTTAAATGGAACCATCACAGCGCACTGAAACTGAGATCCCATTTACTCCTGGTATTAAAATGCGATCTGTATCCAGATAAGTTATCCGGATAATAGAAAACGCATGTTAATGCAAGGTGTAAATACGTTGTGATCGTATCTGCCTGACCACATCTGGAGGTAGTCTGCCTCGCTTTGTGTTCGGATCTTTATTAGGTGTAAACGCAATCTGGTTGTTGAAACCACATATGTATATTTTACTCCTCCCAAAAATGCTAAAAAATAAACGAGTGAGAGCGTGTTATATAGGCTATATGTCATGTTATAGTCAGAAATGACAGCGCTAATGACTAATGAACAATAAAGTTTTTGAATCGTAACACAACTGTGCACATTATCCAAGCTGTTAGGCTGTCATCAGGGTTTCCCATACAGACATCCGGGAAGATCCGGGAGTCTCCCGCGTATTTATAGCGTCTCCCTGATGCCCGCAAATTAGTTAAAATCTCCCAGAATCTAAAGAACATACTGCGGCACATGCATGGCAGAGAGGGAGAGAACAAGACCTTGCGAGTGCAGCGCGCAAGCCAGTCCCGCGCGCTCTCTCTCCCTTTGCAGACTGATCTCACGAAATGCTCAAATGCGTATAGATTACATGCCACTTGACTTGAAAGTGGTGTGTATGTTGATGCAAAAGTCTTGATCATGTTGCCCTTTGGAACACCGCTGCACAAATCAGTCCAACACAGCGCTGTCAATGTTGGAGAACCAGCTTTAAAAAAGTTATTAACCAGCATGCAAGGAGCCTATCTAATAAGGTGAGCTAAATTATTAAATGTATTTTCGAGGTTAGCATGCTGTATAGCTGGTAGTTAATATCGATGGATACGCGTTTGTTCCGCTTTTTTATTGTTAATAAGAAAGCGATCTAAATGTTTATTGTAGTGATGTTAGATGTCCCTCTAGTGGGCAGAACAACCACCACAGGCTATAGTGGCATTGGCGATCCATAAGAATGTGTAATGTCATAAATATTAATAATATAATGAATTTGAGCATTTAATATTCGAATATTATTCAAATATTACATAAAATATGGAATGGAATTCGAATAGTATTATAGAGGAATATTGACAGCCCTACTGTGAATAGAATACTGAATAAAATATAAATTTTTTTGTTGATTTATTTTAAACTTAATAGATATCATGTAAAAATATCGAGTATCAATCGAATCGTATCGCAGGGAATTTTGAAGTATCGAAAATAATCGGATCGTTGGCTTAAGAAATCGGTATCGTATCGAATCGTCATGAAAGCCCCGATTTACACCCCTAGTGAAAAGTATGTTAACCCTGAAATGAAGGAAACTCTGGGTTTTCAGAATTGGAGAAATCTCAAACCTGAGAAAGCGGGATAAGTCAAACCCTTTTAAGAGGTTATTTTCATATCGGTGCATCCCCCACACATTTTGAATTTCCAATGCTTTGCACTTTAAAATAGACTTCTAAATGTCTGTTAAGTGGTCCCTATGTTACCCACTTCCTGTCACCTAGACGCTCAAGTCAGCAAGACCGAATAAATTAAGTATTTTAAGTTGCTGCTTTGCTTTTGAGACATACTGCACAGATGCATGTTATTCATTCTAACCTCACTAGATTATGCTAGATCTAGGTCTTTGCTTCAGTTGTTAGTTTCCTACACTGATTAAAACATTCTGTTAATTGCTTTGGTGATCTTATGATATTATTTTAAAGGATTTTGGAGATGGAGGAGCTTTTCCAGAGGTCCACGTGGCCCAGTATCCTCTGGAAATGGGTAGGAAGAAAAGGACGTCCAATGCTCTGGCAGTGCAGGTGGATGCAGAGGGCAAGATCAAATATGACGCCATTGCTAGGCAAGGTCAAAACAAAGACAAGGTGCCTCATCTTCTTGTGTTGTTGAATTGTTAATACTGTATATATTCAGTGAATCACACCTGGAGAGGACATTTTCATTATGTTTTTTGCTTGTTTCAGGTCGTGTTCAGCAAATACACAGACATGCTTCCTAAGGAAGTACTTAATGAAGATCATCCTGAGCTGCAGAAACCAGATGAAGAGGCGGTGAAAGAGGTGAGATATGAGACTGAGAACCGGTTTAAATGTAGATATTTACTACAGGGTGTCAAAATAGCCCTATACAAATATTTGATTCTTTTACCTAAATGTGGTGGTTGAGGAGATTCCCCCTTCTATGTAAAGCGCGTTGAGTGCCGAGAAAAGTGCTATATAAATGTAATGAATTTTTCTTATTATTATAATATCATTATATCAATCTTATTATATAATATCAAATTATATTTGAATTTTGAAAGGCATCATTTCAGTTAAAGGGAAACACTTTTGGCTTGTTTCCTGTGTCCACAAGAGGACGCAATGAGAAAAATTGTAATGCACCAAATTTTATTTTTCAAAGCAATAAAAAGCATGACTGTTTGGAAAAAAAAAAGAAAGCATATTATTTATAAATCAAATATAATTTCAAAAACTGCATAAGAAATTATGAACAAAGCAGCATTATGTATTTATGCATAGTTACAATAGATAGATCCAAAGTACTTCTGCTTTTAAATCATGAGATTCAGTGGAACAGGGAAGAAAAGGGTTTTAAAAGTGCAAGACAGGAGTGCAGTTGTCAAAGATGTCTGTCTAGCGCTCAATGGAAAAGCAGCGCAGAATACTCTGCATTGAGCTGCTCTATTTCTGCATTGTTTAGAATTGACAATTTTGGCATTCGAATGTGGATTTTAATTTTAAATTCGATGAATATTCGAAATGGGGTTTTGACAATAACAGTATTTCAGTAGTTAATACCATACCAGTGGAAGTTCATAATCGTTAATATCAGTTAAAATTGACTAATGAAAAAATGGAATTCTAATGATTGCTGTATCCTTTGTTATGTTATTAATTCTAATTAAGTTCTACATGTATTTTTTTTTTTTTTAAATAAGGTAAGCTTTGTATAAGTATTCTTTGAAGTAAGTGGACGACAGATGCAGGTTTATTAAGCATCATTTGCACAGAAATGTATAAATGCTGGTCCATGATTACTAATTTTGAGTGTTTTTTGTTAGCTGGTGTTAAAATGGCATGAACAATGTTGGTACTGTTGTTGTTGTTTTTTTTAATCGAACAATAATCCTCATGACTTTTAATAATGATGAAGCCAAGCCAGCATGAATTAACGTTCCAGTTTCCTCCTCCTGTAGATTACAGAAAAGACCCGAGCAGCTCTGAATAAACAGGTCTCGCAGAAAATTGCAGCGGCCATGCCTGTACGTGCTGCAGACAAACAGGCCCCAGCACAGTATATTCGGTAAGACCAGTTATTATAATAAATAATTGGTCTGGGTTGAGATATATCGACAGTAGGATGTTGATGACCAGAAAATGATTTAAACTTGTGCCTTGGTTAAAATCAAGTAAAGCAAGCCATTGTTGAAAGGTGTAATGTGCAGATTGAATTTTTGTTCTAGCACAAGCATGAATTATTCAGTAAAAACCCATTTATTGTTTAAGCATTAAAGCTGTCTAAATCATCGGTTATGAGGTGGGAGTAGTTGCCCCTTTGTGCTTAAATTTTTAACTGCATTACGGTAAATATTTTTGCTTTAAAAATGCTTTTGTAATCTTTGTTATGCCACAGATACTCCCTACAGAGTTTGTATTGAACCTGAAAAAATCCTTTAACGTCAGTCTGTGAGTTTCTGTGCGATGGTGTTTGCATTGCAAGAGGTTGACAGCAGTTTGTAATTGAGTTTGTGTTTGAGTTCGCAAAAGTTCCATAAATTGTTTATATATTTCTTAAAGGTACACACCCTCCCAGCAAGGACTCGCGTTTAACTCTGGAGCGAAACAGAGGGTCATCCGTATGGTGGAAATGCAGAAAGATCCAATGGAACCACCGCGATTCAAGTATTTGACCTTAACCTGAGATTTGAGTGAAATTGGGTGGAAAACACACAAGAAACTCAATGTTTGTGTTGTCTTACAGAATCAATAAGAAAATTCCTCGTGGACCTCCATCCCCTCCTGCTCCAGTCATGCACTCTCCAAGCAGAAAGGTAGGAGTCGATCCCAACATTGATATTCATCGGCTTTGTTTACACTCACAGAAACCTGTCTGGAGGAAACATCTTAACTAAACATAATATTTTAAGCATAAAACTTTTTTTTGTAGATGACTGTGAAAGAACAGCAAGAGTGGAAGATTCCACCCTGTATTTCCAACTGGAAGAACGCAAAGGTAACGCTAAGCCTCCATCTGTTATTCAGCTGTTTACTGTTGTTTTAAAATATTGATTATGGATACAACAGTGTTGCTTTCTCTCACCTCTCATTTTGCTTCTCAGGGTTACACCATTCCTCTGGACAAGCGTTTGGCTGCTGACGGACGAGGCCTGCAGACCGTCCACATCAATGAGAACTTTGCCAAGCTGGCGGAGGCTTTGTACATTGCAGACAGAAAGGTAGACCGCTTATTCCTGCATCCCTGAACCCTCTGGATTCCCAAATTGCTAAGTTTTCTGCCTTTTAAGAAGTAAAGAAACCTTCAGCACTATATCAACATTACAGAACAGTTTCTCAGGCCAAAATGATGTATAAAGCACTATCTGAGAGTAACACTATCTCATGATGACATCTGTATTAAAACAAAAAAACATGCCTCCTCCGATCAATTTGGAGAGCATTTATAGGTCTAGCTTTATTTTGGTTGGCTACAGTACAGATAAATCCTTATATAATTAAGTTCTTTCTAGGGCTGGTAAATATTTTGATTTGATTTTTATGCTGATGATGTTGGTTGTGTGATGTCTACAGGCCAGAGAGGCTGTGGAGATGAGAGCTCAAGTGGAAAAGAAGATGGCCCAGAAAGAAAAAGAAAAGAAAGAAGAGAAGCTGAGAGAGTTGGCTAAGATGGCCAGAGACAGGAGAGCTGGAATCAAAGCCCACAGTGACAAAGGTACAAAAAGACGTTCACAGCATCATTAAACGTCAGTGTATTACTCTTATACTTGTTATCATACACAGCATATGTGATATTTTTCAGAAACATTTGATATTTTAACTATCGCTGTTTGAAATCCATTTTATGTTTAAAGTTCATATTTATTTTAAATGTGTTTTCTAATTGAAGAATTGAAAAGGGAGACGATTTGGCGATTGTCATCAGAGTGCTGTCACTAGCTGCATTTCCATTACCCTTCAATTTGCTCAAATTGAAATTGCGAAATGAAAATACGCTCAATGGAAACACGTCAATTAGGCAATTCGAATTTTTTTTTCGCAAAACTGCAATGGAAACGGATTTTGCGCATTTACAGTCACCTGACTTAGAAGACGGAGTGTGTTTTAGGTCCGTGTCCGTAAATAATAATAATAATTATCATCATTAGCCTATTATAACATTTATTAGGCTACATATGTAGAAGACGCTTTTATCCAAAAAAGGAACAAAGCAATTCGTCACATCTCATTCATAGTACAGGTTGGACAATAATAGGGCTAAGATTATCACAAATAAACACTAGATTTTGATCAATATCCAAGAGTGTGTGCGGAGTTTGGAGCACGCACTGGATGGCAGACAGGCGTGGGCGCGCCGTGAACACTTTCATTTTCCCATCAACAGTGGAATCAACTTAAAATACTCTATCATTTCTGGTTATACAGAAAATAATAATACATTATTCGCAACAACTTTTATTTGCAAAATGTCACAATAACAAGAAAACGTTGTGCTTTTGTAAAATAACATAAAACAATCAGGCGCGCTTTATGATCTTCGTGAACTGGAGCACGACAACTGAAACAATATCCTTTATAGACTAAAGCTTGAAATGTCCACTTTAAAAAGAACAAATTCGAATCATAAACTAATGCCCTCTGATTATGTAATCCGTATGAAAGGTGCAGTTTTCTCTAAAGGTGCATCCAGAGATTATTTTAGCTTGTTATTTTTTCAGACGCATTTATAATAACGCACTATTGCCTTCAGCACTGCGGGAAAAATATCATAAATATCCATACATTTTTTTCCCCATATTAATTTGTGAATATTTTAAATGTTTTAAAGGGGCCAAAAAGTCGCAAACAAATATCTGAAATTTCGTTGAGATGTATATAGCGCAGCATTGGTGGTCAAACTAAAATGTAGGTGTTCAACTTTGCGTTTTAAAAATACAACTTTCGTTCATTTTTCGTTATGCAACGACTGTTTGGACATAATACGAGAGAGTTCTTTATTAAATTCATTTAAAAAAAAGAAACAATAATTACAGGAATAGCCTCTCTAAACCTCAAAGAAATGCCATTAAGACATCGAAGCAGAAATAAGGGAGAAACACCAGGAACTCTGTGTCTTTCCCTGCCATTAATGCTTGGATAACACACCACATCTCCTTCCATTAATAATAATAATGTCTAGTGTGCGGTGCATGGCTGTGAAACCTACCAAAGTCCGTTGCCATGATTTTTGGAATGACTTATCGCGAGAGGGAAAAGAAAAAGACGTTTTAGTCGCATAACATCGGTTAATGGAAACACCGTCATTTCGCAATAGTTTTTTATCGACATTTGGAAAATATTGCAAAAGTTTTGTGCAAATCTGTAATGGAAACGTGCCTACTATTGGTGAGATCACCATGGATGTCTTTGATTTTCTCTCAGGTGGTGAAGAGACAGAAGTCAGGGAGCGTGATGAGATCCGTCACGAGAGGAGGAGAGAAAGGCAGCACGACAGGAACATCTCCAGAGCCGCCCCTGATAAGAGGTACATGCAGTTTTTACACACTTGCCCTGAATCATTCTTGGGCCGGTAGAACTAGTGCACACATCCCATTTTAATGTACGTGGTTTTGCGTTATTTTCTGCGCTCTGACCACACACAAGTCCCACCGGTGTTCATTTTTACATCAGGCACCTTTTAGTGAAACAAACTTGACACATCCCGTATTCAGACCCATTTTGTCATGCTTGTTATAATATATTTAATCTGTGGTTGAAATAGCTTGAATTATTCATGCTTTTTCCTCAAAAGCTGTTCGTTTGTGAATTCCCTGAACTCCCAGTTTGAGACGTGTAATGCAGCGTGATGTCTCTTTGTGTGAGGTGTTAATGTGGGTTTCGCTGATGTCAGTGTAATTTTGGTCCGTCCAGGTCGAAGCTACAAAGAGATCAGGACAGGGACATCAGTGAGCTCATTGCCCTGGGACAACCGAACCCCCGTACCTCCAGTGAGGCTCAGTATGACCAGCGACTCTTCAATCAGAGCAAGGTAATCAACCCCCTCAGGCTTTGCTGATCTCAAATTGGTCACCTTACTGATTTAAATTCATCAGTGTAACGTTAAAGTGCGCAATTAAACGCATGAAAAAAAGCGTTTAAGACAAAGAGAATCCTTTACCTCCTTTTTCTGCCTCTGTGATTTTTCTGTTGATGAATCTTAGACCTTGTTTGGCAGGGAACATATTAATATGTTAATAAGAACTGACTGAAGACTCATTAATACTAACACTTAGTATTCTATATATCTCTTTAAAAAAAGAAAACCTTTCTACATGTACTGTGCTTGACTAACTGGGACTGGTCACAGCATTTGAGTATTGTTGGTTTGATTTGATGTAATGTAGCATGATTATTCTTTTTTTGATTTCTCATTTTGTAAGTCATTTTGGATAAGTGTCTGCTAAATAATTAAATGTAATATCAAAGCATGTTTTATATCATCCAATCTAATATTGGATATGATCAAGTCCTGCTCACATCATTCCGCACAAGTATTATTTTTTGGTTTCGCACAGAAATACAGCTTCATGCAAACGAGTGGTCAAAAAGGGGAATTAAAATCAAATCGTGGTGATTGGTAAACAATTCATGATTTTTTCGAATGTGGGAAATTATTGGCAATCTCTAGTGTGTATATTATTATTATTTTTTTTTTAGTTTTGCATATTTTGACTATAAAATGTTTTTTTTTTTTTAAATCGATACAAATGACTGTAAGATGCTAGCCCGGATGCCAGCCCGAACTCCGCCCACAACATTTTTTGGTCGAGAAGTTTGGTCTGGACTAGATCCATTGAGGAGTAATTATGATCAGGCAAAAAATGATCGGGCCAATTAAATTGCCTGGGCGGGCTTTTATACGATGATGGACAGATGATCTGCAAGGACGTAATCATCACGTTATCAAAGAGCGCTTAACTGGTTTCCCTCAAAGATGACTGCAGCTGGAGAATTGAGATGTATAGATTCTGCTGTTGCGTCTGTTGTAAAATAAATCGACAGCGCATTAATTTTAATAGACAAACAGAAAACTGCAATCAAGGCATTTGTCGATCGGAAATATATTTTTGCCGTCCTTCCTACATGATTCGGCAAAAGTGTAACTTATCAGCTGGCTCCGACAGTCACTAAGAAGATGGGACGTAATGTAAAGCCTGTGGTCATTGTGGTTTCTCCTTTGGTCGCACTCATGAAGGACCAAGTAAAAGAAGCAACACTCGTTATTTTACTTCTAAAATAAGTAAGTTCTGTTGTTGACAACTGTCCTATGCAAATATTTGACTTACTGCATTGCTCTGATTGGTTGTAGGTCTACCGACTATCCAATTGAGTGCAGAGTTTTTTTGTTTTTGTTTTTTCCTGGTTCGGTTAAGACGCGCCTCATAATCAAAGCCCTGTGGAGCGGTGTCAGACTCGCATTCTGACTAGAATATGAGTATGACGAAGTCAGGCTAGTAAGATGCACTTTTCATAGCTGTGAGGTATAAATCTCACTGTTCGTTTGTGTGTTTCAGGGGATGGACAGTGGTTTTGCCGGTGGCGAGGATGAGATGTATAATGTGTATGATCAGCCCTTCAGAAGTGGCCGAGACATGGCACAGAATATCTACAGGCCTGGGAAGAATGCAGATAAGGACGTGTATGGAGACGACCTGGACACACTCATGCAGAGCAACAGGTATGGAGACAGCTGCATTTTAACTACAGAAAAACACATCAGACACATTCAATTAAAATACAAAGGTTATCATTACAATCTTATCAACTTGCTTTAGGCCCGACTGAATGTGGTTAGAATCACGACGTGTGTATTGGGTCTCATTGACACGTTTGTTTATTGTATTATAGCCGCCTCGTTCACGCACTTGAATGATTCCCTTTCTCTCTCCAGGTTTGTTCCTGATCGGGAGTTCTCGGGTGCGGACCATGGCCCCCGCCGCGACGGCCCGGTGCAGTTCGAGGAGGATCCTTTCGGTCTGGATAAGTTCTTGGAGGAAGCCAAGCAGCACGGAGGCTCCAAGAGGGCGTCCACTAGTGGCCGCTCAAAGGACTACGACCACGAGAAGAAACGCAGGAAGGAGTGAGACACTTCCACTGTACACAAATTCTGGGTCAAATCCTCCTCACCCTATTTTTTAGAGCTGTAAAGTGAATGTCTGAATTATTAGTCTTATGGCGTTTCATCTAACCCTAACCCAGTCATGTTTATTCAAACTGTTGTACTGCAAAGCAATTCTAATAAATGTCTTGTAGAGGATTTCATTGAATGTGAAAGATTATTTATGAAATTTGTCTAAAGTAATCTCTGAACAGTGCTCTACTTGAGTACAAGATGAGATGAATTTTTAATGACTCTCTCCATTAGTCTTATAAATCCAGTGCATCTGCGGGAACAAACATGAGCTCTCCTTGAGTTTAAGGGGAATATTAGTATTGTTTAGTTAGTTTGAGGGCTTTATAAAGAATGCATAGTTTACATTACATGCAAGAATAATCTGTAAATTGGTCCTCTATTAATAATGGGTTGAATAATTCTTTAAATAATGGCATTTTCCCTAGAATTGTTTTAAATGGAGAGGGAAATGATAAATGTTTTTTATTTTATATTTATTTTATTGCTCTTCCTGATTTTAATGAAAGAGTATTAATGTGTCAGACTTGGACTTGATATTTAAAAATAATGTTAGTATCCATAGCATTTTTACAGCAAATATTCATCGTCCCATTCTGTTACTTTCCATCATCACGCATAACATATAGGAAAAAAGAGCAGATGGTCGAGTAATGACAGTGAATAAATCTCATCATGCTATAATTTTTAATAGGTTTACATCATAATTAGTAGTTTCATGTGATAGTGAGGTTAATCGACTGTTATAGCTAGAAATACTTATCTTTTCTCTAAACATTTCTAAATGTCATTGCATTTTATATCAAAACTCACATGATTATTGATGACTTTTTTTATTTTAAGATGTGTTCATTTATAAATAATAAATGAAGTAAATAATTTACGGATTAAAAGGGATTGAAGGGAATAAGTGGCGAATGGTTCTATAATTGTAGTTATGAAGTAATCAGTTTAAACTATTTGCAAGTTAACATTTTATTTTAAAATGTGCACCTGTTCACTCTTATTCATTTTAATGTCTGATATGTTGAAAAACGCAAATGTTTCTTGTCTCGTCGTCACATTCATTTATGAATGACATGAATCATGATCACATATTTTCAATTCAAAACTGTGAAATTTCTGTTTTATTTATTCTACACTAAAATGACAAGATAAGACAATGAATTTTTCTTTGTTTTTTATTCATAGCTCATTCTCCGAAGTGTTTTAACAGAGTTTGAAGTAATACAAAAACCACATCTGAAACTGCATTATTTTGATGTATGATACCGCATGATTTCCTGTAATTATCTGCCACAAAGGTGATCAAATGCCAGGGTTGAAGGACTGATATAGCCAAGATAACTCAAATAGATCTTTCTAAAAAAAAAAAATCATAATTTCTCTGGCCATATTGCTGTCCAATGAACAGTTTCTAATGTGATTTAGGTTTCCTAATTGAAACATCCAACGCTTGAATAATTTGCAGTTGTATGATGTGTTTTGTTCCTATGTTTTATTTATTTCTTCTCCCAATTTGCATAATGATTAAATGTCCTCAATAATTTAAAGGGCCAATAAATAACAACAAAATCTCTGCTTCAAAAACAGTTTAGGGATTTATGTGCTACTCAAAGCAATGTTAGTCCCATTCATCATCTTTGATTACTATTAATGTTGGAAACTTGGCAGATCCACAGTTTAGCTAATTTATAGTTCATTTGCATATCATTTTGAATGTCTATGGAAGTTGAGGTAGATGCAATGATCAGACCTAAACATGTAAGAACACTTAAACATGTGAAGCATTGTATAAAGCATTATCAGTTATTGAGAGCTCAGTTAAACCCAATCTCGTATAAAATATTTTGCTTTGTTTTTCTAAATATATAATATATAAAATAAATATTTTATATATATTTTTTTTATTCATGTTGCTCATTAGGATCCAGTGAACACCAGATGCTTTCTGCATGAGTGTAGTATATATCTTTTTTAGTATCCTTTCTCATTTTGTTTCTCATTTCGAATCCAGCATTGTCCCAAGTGTTCAGGTGTATTTAATTCTTCAGGACAGGCATGATAATGAGTCCTCTCTTTTCTGTTTTGTATTTGGAGTTTCTCATTGATGACAGCCTAAGGAAATTGGTTCTTTTTGCGAGCTTTTGTATGGTTTGAAGAACAAACAAACCAGCACATTGTTTCGTGTCATAATGGAAACTTTGGCAAGCGGACAAAAGCTAAGATTGATAGGTTTTTATCTGCTGTCCACGAAGGAACAACCAGCGATATTCCAGGCTGGTTGTTTCAGTCGATTGGGGGAAAAGCGTTTTATTCTTTTGGAACGGAGACAAAAACAGCTTTTAGATAGCGTTCATCTGCTCGTCTGAAGCTCCAGAGCGCTTCAGAAAAGAAACTAATGGTTGTGTCAGTCAAACAGATGCCTTTTTTATATTAACCAGTTTATTAATAAGACTTTACTGACTGTTTATTGGTGATTCTATGCACACTTTTGGCTCTGTGGAAAAACATTCAATTCAGTCCAATAATTGAACCGTTAAATGAGGATCTTTTACTGCAAAGCTGCTTTGAAACAATGTCCATCGTGAAAAGTGCTATATACACTCACCTAAAGGATTATTAGGAACACCATACTAATACTGTGTTTGACTCCCTTTCACCTTCAAAACTGCCTTAATTTTACATGGCTTTGATTCAACAAGGTGCTGAAAGCATTCTTTAGAAATGTTGGCCCATATTGATAGGATAGCATCTTGCAGTTGATGAGATTTGTGGGATGCATATCCAGAACACGAAGCTCCCGTTCCACCACATCCCAATGATGCTCTATTGGGTTGAGATCTGGTGACATGATGCATTATCCTGCTGGAAGTAGCCATCAGAGGATGGGTACATGGTGGCCATAAAGGGATGGACGTGGTCAGAAACAATGCTCAGGTAGGCCGTGGCATTTAAATGATGCCTAATTGGCACTAAGGGGCCTAAAGTGTGCCAAGAAAACATCCCTGACACCATTACACCACCACCAGCAGCCTGCACAGTGGTAACAAGGCATGATGGATCCATGTTCTTGTTCTGTTTACCCCAAATTCTGACTCTACCATCTGAATGTCTCAACAGAAATTAAGACTCATCCGACCAGGCAACATTTTTCCAGTCTTCAACTGTCCAATTTTGGTGAGCTCTTGCATCTGAAAAAAGCAAAAATAAATGATGAAAGCATGATGAAAGTTTTAATGACCATTATATAAAGAAAAATCAGTTTAATCACCTGATTGAAACATAAAAGTGCTCAAAGTAGACACAACACCCTTGTATGCAAGCATTGTTTGTGACATATATAGAATAAACAGCATTAATCTGCAAAAATGACATTGATGGCTATCAGCAAATGTTACACTGTCCTTCATCCGTAATTTGTCACAATATTGTTTTAGTGGTTTTATTCAGTAGCCTCTCTCTCTCTCTCTCTCTCTCTCTCTCTCTCTCTCTCTCTCTCTCTCTCTCTCTCTCTCTCTCTCTCTCTCTCTCTCTCGCTCTCAGGTAAAAACAAACCATGGACACTTGTAGAATTGAATGTACCACAGAATTATTGCAGTATATTTTATTTCAATCTCAGCTGTAAATCGGAGCCTGTTCTGGATTTGTCTTGCAAAAACACTGGGAAAGATGGAACCATTAATCTTTTCATTGATAAAGAAGGGAATCCAGTCTGCAAATGGACTGATATGAACAAGATCAGTTGGCAGACCTGCTTATATTGTTCGCTTATTGCATCATTTGTCATGCTGTGGTCTATCTGTGGGAGGTTTTCAACCATGATGAATGCAATGCTGTATGAAAACATGCTTTCACAGAAATTGATGTACACTGAGGTCTTTCCTCGAAATTAGGATGTGGTTTGCCCAAATATTCTTATTAGGAACTCTTTAAATATGCAACTTATTTAAAACCTCCTAACTAAGGGTGCTCTGATTTATCGTAATCAGAAGATAATAGCTTTATGTTTGATCGGTGGTCCAAGTAAATGCAGATGGAGCTCCCTCCACATAAACTGTCTGGAGATGTTAGCTCGCGCGTTTTCCTCCCGCGCATTTACGGCCACCACGTATTGATCCACAATAGGCTCTATGCACAACTTACTTCCGCATTCTGTGGTCTTTTGTATGTGCTTCATGAAATTTTTTGCGGTTTTACTCAAGATAACTTAAAAGGAGCGAGCAAAGATTAGCATAACCAATGTCCCTCACATGTGCAGATTTATATTTAAACGTTTTATATTTTTGCTTCTTCACAGTAACGTTTAGATATTTAAATGGAATAAAACGCCAATAACAAAGTGAACTAGGTAGGTTAGCTGATTACCTTAAAAATCCATAGATATCGTAGTCAGGTCTTACGGCCGTTAACACTTTCTCTGACAGGCGGATGCGTTGAGACCTGTTTTCCGGTTTGGTCACGTGACGCTCGACATAAAGCCTATATAGCCGTGGTCTCCTATCTAAAACGTCAGGGCGGAGTCAGATCCAGGAATCTCTTCCTGCTGACACAACGCATTTTAGTTTGGTCCCAGAGTCACCTGCTCTCGCTAAGAGCGACGCATGTGCCGGACTGTCCAGGAACATCCTTCCGAGGGAATGGTCCCTGCACGCTTAAACAGTCCAGAAGCTGTGGCGAATATTGGGCAGAGCAGAGGTAGATCTCTTCGCACAGGAAGAGAACGCTCACTGCCCAATATTTTTCTCAAAGAGTGAGGACGCGCTACCCAGGACTGGCCCAGCCGCCCGCTATATGCTTTCCCTCCGGTCTCACTATTACCACAGGTAATTCAGAGGATCAGGGACACACGCCACTCGGTGCTCCTCATAGCCCCGCGATGGGAGAGTCAGACTTGGTTCCCTTTCCAGTCAGAGCAGATCTCCTCTCTCAAGCTCGCGGCACGATCTGGTATCCCCATCCGCAGCGCTGGGCGCTGCATGCGTTGGTGATCAACGATTACCCGTTGCTTTGCCAGAAGGAGTGTTAAACATGATCATGCACGCCAGAGCGGCTTCTACTAGAAAGCTCTATGCGTCAAAATGGTCTGTGTTCTCTAAATGGTGCACCGACAAAAACTTGGACCCACGGTTGTGCGATGTTTCGTCTTTGCTCGTTTTTCTCCAAGAGATGTTGGATAAGGGCAGGTCCCCATCCACTCTCAAGGTTTACGTGGCAGCTGTCGCGGCGTTCGTTGAACCCGGGCGAGGTCAGTCACTGGGCAAAGACGAGCCAATCATCCGCTTCCTCAGGGGAGCTAGAAGGATGAACCCTCCACGCCCCCCTTTGGTTCTGATCTGGTATCTTTCTATAGTTCTCCAAGCTATGAAAGGGCATATTTTAGGTCCACGGAATCTAACGGTTCGAAAGGGGGGGGGTGTCTGTTTCGAGGCGGCTAAACCCTTAGTGCGCCCACCAAACGAAACGAAAAGCTGCTCAGAGCGTCTGAACAGGGCAGCGCTTGTAGTGAACAAACTCAGAGCCCGAACCGGGCAGAAGAGATTGGCGTCACATTCGCTATCGGATGCGGGCAGAGCCAATAGGGAAATAACCTGAGCTCTGAACGGGGTACCAATCGCTTTGGGGACATAGCCATGTCTAGGTTTAAGAACGACTATAGAGTCATTAGGTCCGACTCAAGACACGCAGCACTAGCAGAGAGTGCATGAAGGTCTCCCACATGTTTTACTGATGACAGGGCAATCAGAAAGATGGTTTTGAGCGAGAGGTATTTTAGGTCCACGGAACCTAACGGTTCGAAAGGGGGGGCCCCGCGCTGCCCTGTTCAGACGCTCTGAGCAGCTTTTCATTTCGTTTGGTGGGTGCACTAAGGGTCATGCCGCCTCGAAACAGACACTGTCCAGATGGATAGTTGATGCAATTGCAACCGCATATGCATCTAAAGACCTGCCATGCCCTCTGGGCATCAGGGCTCCTTCCACTAGAGGCATGACCTCATCGTGGGTATGGTCCAGCGGCATTTCCATTCATGATATATGTGTGGCAGTGGGATGGGCTTCCCCCTCCACCTTTGTCAGATTTTACAATCTGGAAGTACCCGCCCTGCAGGCTAAACTACTAGCAGTCTAGTATACTTCAGCTCTCCTGGTTGAGCTGCACTGTT